CTTCTTCCAAGAACAGGCACAATCTTTCGTCCACAATTACCTCAAACTTGGGTAATTAACCCATATATTTATATATTTGTATTTATTTATTCACTTAGTTCATCATTTATTGTGCTGAGTTCCATGATTGTAGCAACTGTAGTATTAAAGACATGCTTGCTCTATTCTTTAATTTACATGCCCTTTAAATATAAAAAAAGGCTTGAAATTCGCTTATTATCAGGAAGTGTTTATTGTATCAAAACCACGTGAAATACTGATTGAAGCAGGTAAACGACAAAAATATCAACGATTTCGACATAAACAATACGTTTGCGACCTTTGTGAAAGCGCTTTCACCTTGAAACACAATATTCAAGCTCATTTAATTCTTTACCATCCAAATAATGAAGCTTACAAACAACGTAGACGTGGTAAACGCTACAGATGCATAAAATGTAAAATGGTATGAATTTATAGTCCTCATCTTCTCATTGCTGAATAGTTTTTGAAATTTAATAAAATTAAGTAAATATATTATGTCATCAATGCTATTATTTCATCTCATGATATTTTACTGTGTGTACTTTATGCACTAATTTATCAATCCTAGAGATGTAATTTAAGATGTTCCGAACTATTCAAACTGCTCAAAGGCACCAAAGACGACAACATGAAGAGCGATTACGGCCAAAATGTGAAACTTGCCAAAAGGAATTCCTTAGCCCTTCACTACTTCGTGAACATATCGTTGTGAAGCATTTGTCAGTATTGGTTGTTTTTTTTCACCTTTGAAATGAGCACTTGAATTTCTGCATAAAGTCAGAAGAAAACTTAATTTGAAAAGCTCATGCAATTTAGAAATTTGCGACCATTTAAATGTTCCAAATGTTCGGCAGTATTCGGTCGACAAGGTTGCTTACGCCGTCATGATATGATGCGTCACTTGAATCATGTTTATACCTGTCCTTATAATTACTGTACTCATGCTGGTTTCAAATGTTCAAAAGTAATCTGAATTTATTATTTTTGCAATGAAACAGAAATTTCCCTGAAAACTTGGATTTCATATTAAAAAACTTGTCGTGCATTCGATCTTTGAAGATTGATTTTGACTGAATATTCCATTTTATTTTCAGAGCATTGATGCAACACTTAGAAATTAAAATTATACCAGTTTGTAACTGATGTCAATGTTTGTTGCTTTTTGAACATGTTTCTAACATTTTGTTCCTTAATTTGAAGGACATTTCGATTAATTACAGGCTTTGGCTGCTCATATCCGTTCCGTCCATACACATGTTCGCCCGTACGTTTCGTACTTTTTTCATCATCAAAACATCGAAGTTGCATATGTTCAAAATATTATTATTATTATTATTATTCTTGCGAACTTATTTCTAATCTTTTAACTTTTTGGCTGGTAATTTTTGAGATAGCATTGTAATATTCCTTCACCATTTTGAGCTCAAGCATTGCTTAAAACAGCATCAATTCTCATTTCATTTGAAGTTAACATAAAAATTAGTTTGCTGAACGAATTTTTCAACCTCAGGTGCTATGAATTCGATTAATAAAATTTCTTTGCGAGATTTCAATAACATACTGGATTTTCGCTTTCAGGTTTAAATGTGACCAGTGCGATAAAAGTTTTGTACGTCGTAACGATTTGCGTGTGCATGCTGATATCCACAATACATCACAAATATATGCTTGCAAAACATGTCAACAAACATTTCAGCGGCGTATTCAACTCCAGAAACACATTAAAAAAGTTCATGCCATGACAAATAACTGATTTTTTGTTACTCTGTAAGCATATACAAATTCATTATGAAAAATTTGGTGTCATAGAGTTACAAAACTAATATTTAAATTTACTGCACTTTTGTATATAATAATGTCATTCAGTCAAATAACTAAGTTTCATTCGTTGATAATAATTTTTATTTCCTCAAATTCCTTCAATTTACATTTCTTCAGTTACGATTACAGTTTTATTATGAAAATAAAATAATCAAAGTGTCGAAAGTATGAGCGCAACATGAATAATTACAAAGCTGTCTCAAATATATATTATCGATCACATTTTGTTTAAGTCTGCATTTTACCCAGTTAAAAGTCAATAACTTTCCAAATTATGAAAATATGCTATAAAAACGGCACATCAAAATGAAGCAAAGAAAATTTTATGAGATTAGTAAATCTAGAATTTGAAATGGAAGAACGTAAATGTTGAAAAAGTAAAGAATCAAATTTCGGTATTGGGTACCAGTTACAATATGATATATTTAGCTAATGTGCTGTAGGCTTTTCTCCGTCAGTATACTTTCAAATTTTGTTTATTTTCAAAGCCTGCCCTTCTCTCCGAGTGTTTACATCCAGGAAACTCCATAAATTTTGAACTTTCATTCTTGAATTATTTCATTTACTTTTTACTTTCTTCCTTGGCAAAAATTTCAAGTAAATGCAATTTTCAACTATCAAGCATATGATGAGCATTTCTAATTAAAATTTCAACAAAAAAATCTTTAAAAATTTGTCTCATTCAGTTTTATTGAACATTTGTTTGCTAAAAAGCAATGTTGGAAGAGAAATTCAGCCATTTGTTGTGTCGTTAATTTTTGCTGAATCTACTAATACTCTTGTAAAAGACAATAAATAGCAAGAAGATGACTTTGGGCTTCGTTTGAAAAGAATAAAAGCAATCAGAGTTTTCGAATATTTTTATTCAATAAAGCAAACTCTATCCTAATGGGAATTTCAAATTATGTTGTGGATTTAGCAGTCTACTATTAGTTAGCGTGATGGTTTCCTTAATTCAAATTGTTTCGCTTAGATTTCATTCATTTTTTAAATAGTCAAAATTCTGTAATGCTGGGATTATTGAAAATTTCCCTTATAATTACACTACTTCAACAATTTGGAATTTTCACTAATTTTGCATTTCCTTTCAGTTTCTTTTATATTAACTGCAATTTATTAATCGAGCCCATTATACACTTCTGCGAAAAATTCTAAAATTTGTGATAGTTTTGTTGCACATTTCAAAACGCCTGTTGCCAAATTTCGGTGCAAATGCTTTTAGAAGAATTGGAAATACTATCAAAAACAATAAATAAAATCAATATTTTACAAATTTTAGTACAATTTTCTCAAGTGCTTAACGATTCATAAGAAAGCTTTACTTATAATGTATTCTGGACAGTTCATCTTCTATTTAACTTATTATAACCTGATTGTAAATGCGTAAGTCATTTTTCTTTTGCAGGTGAATTTAAATTTGGAAAAATAGTCCAATGATTGGTTGCAGAAATAGACTAGAAACAAAGTTATAATAAACATAAATTAAAGAAGTGACTACATTTTACATCAGTCAATTGAGTTTTCATAAAATAGTTTTATTTAGCATTTAATGATCTTTCTGAATCCCATTTCATATTAGAAGAAATTTGCTGAGAAGAAGCTATCATGATGTATTGATGCTTTTTATTTCATCTGAAATAACTTAATAGTTTTTTGTCTTCCAGTTTCCACGATAAAAATTATCATTATGAAAGTAACAAAACATGTAGCGCAGTATCAACAAGCCAAACTAGGGTATCAGTGCATCGCTTACCTAAGTCACTTCATCCTGTCAGGTTATTTCAATCATGTTCATGAGTGGCAAAGAAAAGTTGCAAACCTCAAAGAAAATTTAATAATTAGCTATACTCTTTATAGATTTTTTAAATGTATGATGTCATTTGTGAAATTTATAACATAAAGTCATGGACTACATAAGACTTATATAATAGTTTCAGGTACATTTTGCAAGTAAAGGTCTATTTACCTGGCTATTCCACAGTAGTAAACACAAAAACAGATACTTTCGAAATAAATGTTACCGTTGAATTTCGTGCACAATCACCAACTGATCGTATAATCTTGAATGCTGATAAATTACATTTTGAAAGTTATCAACTGCTTGCTGGAAATGAAACTAATCAGGTAAAATTTTGTAATTTCTGAAGTATGATAGTTATCGATTAATTATAGTACAATTTAATTGAAGTAAATTGAAGTCATTTATAATATGAATAAGACACATCTTAATTTAAATGTTCATAATTAGCTACAATGATATAACTATTATACATGCTTCATCTGTTTTTTTAACTAGTCTTAATAAACTTTTGGTTATAAATTGCTCGTTAACATGGATATCAAACCAAAATCTGTGATGCTTTATTCCTTAATTCCTTTGATTACATTATAGTTAAATCTTTTATATCTGTCAAGTTATTAGCATCATTGTTTTGTCAGTCTATGGTAAATTCAAAATGAGTGAAGTAATTCTTCTCCTGCATAATGCTCAATTGTCAAATCATTGATGATTAAAAAATTTTCTGCACTTGGGTTATTAATCAAGTGATGTTTATCCATCTAAACGTTGATTATTTATGATTTTAAATAGCTTGATTAATATGTAACTTCATCAATTCTTTTTTCTAACTATTTCATACAGCAGAAAAGCTTATATTTTTTTACTACCAACAAAATTGAGTTCATTTTGATTGTTTCTAATTGATCTAGATTACATCAATTACAATCAATCATGCACAGCAAACAGTCATTTTTGAGACGAATGAAATACTACGCGTTGGAAAACTGTATGCGATACAGGTTATCAACTTTGATCTTTATAGTTATCAAGATTATTAGTGACAATTTTGGCTGCTTGTAAGAATTAAAAATCAAAAAAAAAATTTATAGGATCTACAAAATTTAAACTTACGAAAATATAAATAAACCGAAAAAATTTAGATTCAAAAATTCATGAAGATGTTTCAGTTGTTATGTATTTAACGTGTAATTTACTGACCATTTGTTAAGCCACCAATTTTGTTAAGCACCGAAAAATAAACAAACGATATTTCAACAGAAACATAGTCTTTGAGTATAATTATTTGTTTTCCAGATGAAATGTTCGGGAAAACTAGGTAAACTTTCTGGTCTATACATGACTGAATATCGTGATGCAACAGGTGGCAAAAGGTTATTTACTATTTATTTTTACATCTGAAATTGCCGAATAAAACAAAAGGATCATTTTTAAGCAGCACAGATAAAGGATGTTTTAAAACATTGCAGATATATGGCCATAACTCAAATGCAACCAACAGATGCAAGAAAATTACTGCCGTGTTTTGATGAGCCCGAATTCAAAGCAATTTGGAATGTTACCGTAATACATCCACATGGAACGATAGCACTCAGCAATGGACTGGAATTGAAAACATCAGTTCATGGGTAGTAATAATTTTCCTTTCAAATTGTTGTCTCAAAATTTCTTTTTTTGGTACATAGAACAGTTTAACTAGATTTTGATGTAAATTTGAAACGTTAGTAAGAAGCTTTGACAACTAACCTACATGATATCAAGCAGGTAAATGATAGCTGAAATACTTTGATAGCTACATGAATGATATTCAGAAAATGAGAATAATTTTATCTTTTCATTTCAATGAATTAATATTTTTGAGTTAAAAAATCTGTTATTGATAATCGGGCATTAATCAATCGTTAGTTCGAATTGCAGTATTGTCTTTCACAGTATAATTTTTGATATATCGTGTTAGTGAGTCCAAAGTTTACAATAACTAAAATTAGTAACTGAGATTAAACGTTTGCAATATGTAATTCAAAATAATTGGTAACGACTTCTTAAATAAAGAAATCGGAAATTTGAAGATAGATATTAAATGTTGTGCTGAGTTTTAATCTGAAATTTATTCTAAAGTAGTTGCAGAAATGACTCACAATGGGTTTGCACATATTTTGAAGAAACTTTGCCGATGTCATCGTATCTGTTGGCAATTGCAGTTACTGATTTTGAACATTTAGAAGCAAAAACTAAACGAGGCATACAAGTCAGTAAAAATTTATATTTTTCATAATGTCTTTTTTAATATGGCAATAAAATTTGCTCATTTTAATGTTATTGGTGCAGAAATGAAAATTTTAATTCAATGGAAAATTTTGGGAAGAAATTTTTACAAAGTTGCTGCAGCAGGAATTACTTGAAGCTATTCAATGAATGCTTGCTTTCTGTTACTTTTTGAATATCAAAGAATGAAAACGTCTAATAATGAGTAAATTAACGAAACTAGCTGTAACTATTCAATTATTAAAAAATTTCACAGTAGACAATTTCGTAACTTATAGGAATCATTTCTTTCTTTCAAACTAATTGAGTTACTTATTGACAGTTTCGAATTTGGTCTCGGAGGGAAGCCTTAAACCAAACAAAGTATGCTTTAGAGCTTGGAGTTAAATCGATCGAATTTTTTGAAAATTATTATGGTATTCCTTTTCCACTGCGAAAACAAGGTACTACTGATCGATTTTTTAAATTCAAAAAGCTGTTGAAATGCAGTGTTTTGTGGCAAACAGTATGATTTATATGCGCAAGCAGTCCATAAATTGTGTCAGGTCATTCTGAAATTATTTTAAAAAAGCATTTCTCAGCTTTGTTAACAAATTTTGCTTACAAATGTCGGCAAGAGAATTTTATTGTACACGTGCATTCTGGAATAGCTTTCTTAGAAATTATGTTTGGTTCAACAGAAAAACTCATGACTACGATTACATCCAATGTGCTTGTTGTATTAGCATAGTTAAGATTGATCTTAACAAAATACATGAGTTAGAAAAATCAGGAAACCATCTAGGTGGTAGAGCTTACATGTTTACTCTGACCTAATAAAATATGTGCTGCTAGTGAAACAGTGACAGAAGTCAAAATTAAATGGTATTTTTGAATTGTCAATAAGTTATTTACATAAAAGATCATTTTAGAAGCAATCATAAAGTTAATCGATTTAAAATTTTTTACATTAGTAAAATACTTCTGTAATTGTATAAATGTCTGCAAAATGAAGTCTTGATAAAGGTGATATGATTTATTGATCAACTTCGAATAGCATTGAAGCGGTTTTAATTAAAAATTTTGGTATGCCTTTCAGTGTTTAAAATATTCATAAAATTATACGGCAGTTCTATTAATGAAGTTCAATGCTGATATTATTTTTTCAAAATTTTCAGAGCTAAGCAGTAAAGTTAAAATTTGATGTCTATAGTTTGTTTGCAGATTTTCACAAACCATCGTATTTATCATATAGAGCTCAAATTTTTTATTTTTTCATTTTCCATATATTTGAAATTTGTTTATAGGTTTTCTTAATTTACCTTTCAAAGTTCATATACCACATTAAAGAGTGTTGAAAGTCCGCTTGTTCGTTAATTCAAGAATTTATTTTTGAGACATGATTGCGGTGCCAGATTTTGCGGCTGGAGCGATGGAAAATTGGGGCTTAATCACTTTTAGTGAGCTAGCACTTTTGTATGATTCCAGATTATACAGCCGAGACCAAAAACTTTACATTGCTATTACTATTGCGCATGAACTAGCTCATCAAGTAAGCGTCGTCACAAAAAAAATCAAAAATAATATGAATGTTTTATCCAAAATAACATAAAATGATCAAGAACATGCAAGAAATGGAGATGTTTCGAAGATTCAAATTTCTTGCCAATAAGAGTTGTTTAGAGATGGTATGAGAAAAATTTTCATCTATTTTTTACAAGCAATAAAAAAGCTTTGATGCGAATACGTACTGGAAAGAATTCCATTTTTCATAGAAAACTGCAAATTTCATCAGTGAAATTACTGATGACTTGAAATATAATCAAAAATTGTCTAAAAAAAATATGTTATTGATTCTTGAAGTTTCAAATTTAGTGGTTTGGAAACTTGGTGACCATGAAATGGTGGGATGATTTGTGGCTTAATGAAGGATTTGCTACTTTCATGCAATATTTGGGAGCAAGTGCCGCTACTGATGGCAATATACCGCGGGTAAAACAATTTCCGTATTAATTCATATCAATTTAATTGATTTTGATTTATTGGCTTTGAAATAAATGAAACAAAACTTTTCATTTTTGTCCGTAAGTATTGGCATGTATTATCAGGTTAATAAAATAATGTTTTTTAAGCAAAACATTTGTAATATATTTTTCAAATTTTTGTTCACAGAGGATGAAATTTAAATTAAAATACTTTTAACATCATGATGACTTCAATTTTAAAACTGAATGTATTGAATTCAAATGTTTTTATGACGAATATTTCCTGCTAAGCAGTGTAAGCCGAGCAATGCGTTATGATTCAAGTTGCATCTCACATCCATTATATTTTAAAATTTTGAAAGCAGAAGATGTTTCGGAAGCTTTCGACGATATTTCGTACTACAAGGTTACGAAAGCTTGAAAATCCTTGAAAACTGCGGTGCTTTAAATTCAAATTAAAAATTGTGAATAACAATCTTTTACATTAATTTTGCTACTGAAAAGTCATTCCTGTATTACAAATGATTGCTAAAATATAATCATTTTTTTTAAATTGCAATTTAAAATAATTAACTCTTGAATGTGATTAAAATGGCTTTTATTTTACAGGGTTCATCATTTTTGTACATGACGGAGCAAGTATTAGGTCCCGAGAGTTTTAAAAATGGCACGAACGTATGTATCATTTGAAATTTTAAGAAATGTAGGAAGAGAAAATTATATATTAGATTAAATTACTCCATTAAATCTTTCAACTATAGTAAGCGTCAATGTTCAGATTTATCTAAAACATTTTGAATATCGAAACGCTGATCATTCTAACTTGTGGGATGCATTTCATGAAGCTTATTCCGCGAATAGTGCCAAAAACTCATCAGCTTATTTTAATATTAAACAGTTTTCTTCAAGTTGGATCACTCAGGTAGGTCATTTTATTTTCGCTGATATCGTGTGAGCTGCGCTTTGATACTAGTGTGCAAAAAAAGAGATCAAAGAAAGAAATCAAAAAAAGAAATTCAGACTTTTAGATTCTTTGCTTTACTTTATAGGTTGGCTATCCAGTGATAAATGTGCAAAGATTAGATTCAGAAACAGTCGAGTTACGACAAAAGCGATTTTTGTACGGTCAAGAAAGTAGGCTGATTGACGAAAGGTAACTATTAACTTTCATCAATATAACAGTCATTACAAAAGTGATTAATAGTTCTGTATTTTAATGAAGATATTTTCAGCCATGTGTACAGCATACCATTATGGTACCAAATAAATGATGCTGCTCAACCTTTGCAGTGGCTTCATCATGAATGTAATTTTTTTTTAATCCATGACGATATGGTATTTTTGTGATTGTTGCAATGTATGTTTTTATTAGAATGATGATAAAAATGATAATAAATGGGTTTTTTCAATATTACTGCCTGATTTCTGCTTTAGTTCGAAATCTATCCGTACCCGAAAGTAGCTTATTTGTATTGAACACATTAGCTCGAGGGTTTTATCGCGTGAATTATGATCTTCCAAACTGGCTAAAAATAACAAAACAACTTATCACTGATCATAAGGTAATTGAACAAAACGGATGATATCATCAATGTAATTCAATTCATTGTTCAGAATTAAATCATGGAAGCAGGCGTTAACAATTATGTAATAAAAGTTTTGAATTTTTTATAATTTAGTCTTTTCTTCCGAAGATTGCAACTTTTACTATCAAGATATATTTCTAATGCAAATTTCATTTATTTAGGCATTGAATGTACGCACCCGATCAATGATTATTGATGATGCATTTGCTTTAGCAGAAGGTGGTATGTTAAACTACGAAGTAACGTTGAATATTACACGTTACTTAAGATATGAAGAAGAATATTTACCGTGGTCCAAAGCATTTGCTGGATTTGATAGAATTGCCCGATATTTTGGTAATGAACCAGAATTTCGTTATATGAAAGTAAGGAGGACGAATTTTTCAGAAAATTGTAAATATAAAATTAGTATTGCTTTACATTGTCGAACTAAATTGACGAAACCTTTTAGCATTGTGTTTAATTTCAGTTACCAAATTCAGTTCCGAAAAAATTTTTTCAGTTTATGAAATAAATGAATGGAAATATTTTCAAGACTTGAAATTAAATTATATAGAAAGCGAATTATTACTCCAAATATGAAATCTTTTTCAGCAATATATGGAATATTTGCTTGCTCCAATTTTCAATTCTGTTAATTGGACTGCATTGGAAAGTAATAACCAAATTGATAGCAATGTGCTCAAGAAGTATAATTAATATTAATTCATTTGGTTGAAAAAAAATTTACATCTGAAGACATTTATTGAGTGTACGAAAAAATGAGCCTTAGAATTCTAAAGCTTATTGTTATGCTATCAGTACTGTTCAAGGCTAGAGATACTTTTTAGGAAAGCTTACATATATGTAAACATAAACTGCACAATTTCAAAAATTTCGTCAGTTGTGTAAAACCGTAGATAAAAAATTTCAAGAATGATAAAGTTCCGTTCGCTTCATTCAGTCAACTTTGATGAAAATAAGGCTTCATCCTTATTATGGTATTATTTGATTAGTATAACTGTGCAGAAAAGACTGAAAAGTTCAGAAAATTTATTTCGTTAATTAAGAAATAAAGCGCTTTCAGTCTTTTGAAAGAACATGCAGTTGCACACAGTTGCCGCATTGGTACTCAGAGATGTATCGATAAATTACAAAACTATTTTACGAATAGTTTTCTGAATGCATGTACAAATACAACACTGATGAGCAGTGAGTGTAGTAAGTAAGTATGCGATGTGTATTGTTTTCATTTTCATTCCTTCTGATTTCTTTTCAGTACACGTGCATTACTTTCGTTCCCTTTACGTCAGATACTTTAAATTTTCAATGCTGCTATGCTGCTGGATATTACATTTTCTAGTTTAACTTTCATATGAATATCTTTTTCTTTGCGTATGCAAATCAAAAATAGTGTTACAAGATAACTGAAGCAAAAACTC